TACAACTTTTTTATTCATATTTTTTTTTAATAACCATAAAATTTGATATTGTTGATATTTTCTCGTATAATAAAAAAAGATTTAAAAAGGCCCCAAATACGTATTTGACATACGTAGCACCATCTATATAGTCTTTGTCACATTAACAGTCAAGCTACTGCCACAAAACTTTTATCACCCTGTATAACATTGACGTAATTTGACATTTCAAGGTTTCAAAATCATTATTTTGACAGTAATTAACAACAAAAACGTGTTTTTAACAAGTAAAGTAGATATAATTATTCTACATTTATTTAATATTGTTTCCTGTGATAACCGTTTAAAAATAGAACCATGTCTCGTTAACAAAACATGTGCAAAATGACAAGAACTTATCGAAATAATTGCAAGGAAGCGGTTAAAGTTGTAGCTCGAATTAATGGCTATTTTCAGTAAACTTATAAAAGACAAACCAAATGCTGGAGGATATCCTACGTACATTATGATCAGCCTAGGACCTTCAATATTTCCATCTTATGGTGTGTTCATTCCAATTGTGTCGACAATCCTTTTGTGTGTTGCTAGTTATTATGTTTTCAAATGGTTAAGTACTGATTCTGTAATTCCAATCAGGGATGTTACAAAAAAGCATAACTGGAAAACTATACAAATTTCTTCTAAGGTAAGACAACTCAATATCAAAAGTATTTGCTTTATGTGTTATAATAATTCATGGTAGAAGTGTAAATAATTAGAAACTTACTGCTACTTGTGCTGTGTATTAATGTTGAAAAATGGTAAAGTGTTTTTAACTAGCCCTGGTACTGCTCTGTTTGTGAGGCACTTCTTCTTAACGGTATTGGGGTTTATTGTGACTGCTGTGGTATTTTTTCTGATCCGGATTGTGTCAAAACAGCAAATAAAGAGCTAAAATGTAAAGTGGTTACAAGTAAGAGTGAAGAGCATTTCCATCATTGGATAAAAGGTCTATTAACGTCTGATATTAGTTTGTTAAAGTTTTATACAGTGTTATTTCTGTTTTTTCCAGGTAACTTATCTCTTGGTGCAATGTGTGTAGTATGCAAAGAAGAGTGTTCTGTAGAACCAGGTTTAGTAGACTACCAATGCTGCTGGTGTCACAGAACAGTTCATACAGAATGTTTAGAAAAAATAAATAAGGTATAAAAATACCCAATTGTTCATTCAAATGCTTCAGTTATTGTTAATTACAGGAATGTGATTTTGGTCCTTTTCGTAATATGATAGTGCCCCCCTGGTGTGTCCAAGTAGCAAGATTAAAGAGCAGCATCCATCGTCATTTGCTGCTTAGAGGAGTCAAAAATCCTGGATGGAAAGACTGGTGTCCATTAATCGTTGCTGGTATATACCGCTATTACAATTATTATACATAAATAAGTCTTCCTTTTCAAGGAAATAGGAAATCAGGCAACAATGACGGAGCAACAGTGCTGTCGGAATTCAGAAGATATTTGAATCCTGCACAGGTGCTTGACTTGGCTGATAGACCCCCAGCTGCAGCACTTCAATGGTGTGTACTTACATCACCCAAGCGTTTGAAGCTTCTGGGAGCTGGAGGAGATGGCACAGTAGCCTGGATACTTACCACAGCGTTCAGAATGGACTTGGATGTATGCAATTCTATCATTATGATCCTTATTGCCGTGTTGCCCTTATTTAATATGTTTTTTCTAGCCTGAACCTCCTATTGCAATATTACCACTTGGAACAGGTAATGATTTGTCAAGGGTGTTGGGATGGGGCAGGGAAAATCCCTCTGAAGTAAACGTACCGGATTTGCTTAAAAAAATTGACAGGGCTGAAGTTATTGACATTGATAGGTATTTATATACAGGCAGTGCAGCAAAAAGAGTATTAAAAATTATATTTTTCTAAAGGTGGCGAATCGATGTAACTCCTTATCGTAATCTCAGTAATTTAGGTATAAGGATTCCCTCGAAAACTCTGTACATGTACAACTATTTTAGTATTGGGGTGGATGCCCAGGTGGCCCTGGACTTTCACAAAACACGCGACAGCAAATTTTACATCTTTGGCAGTCGTATATTCAACAAGGTTCATTTTACATATAAACCAAGTTAATATTTCATATGTTTAATTTCTGTTTGCCTTTTAGTTGCTGTATCTCTGTTTTGGAACACAACAGGTGGTAACAGCTGACTGTAAGAATATAGAAAAACGTTTAGATCTCTATTTAGATGGGAAATACATTGATCTTCCGGAATTAGAGTCTATAGTAATACTCAACATACCCTCGTGGGGTGCAGGAGTTGACTTGTGGGGTAATTATTCGATAATTAATTTGTGCCAGGCTTTTGTTTAAAAATTATGCAAGCGTATCTAAGATCTGACTAAATAAAAATGTTACAGACATTTTACATTATCTATGCGTTCTTTTTTCTTGTTGACATAGGTTTATGTGAGTCAGAAAACCCTCAGTCGTATAACGATGGTATTTTGGAAGTTGTTGGTATTTATTCGTCATTCCATATCGCCCAGTTACAAGTTGGATTGTCTACACCTCACGTGTTGGGGCAGGCAAGGACTGTAGAGGTAAACAATGCTATATCTGTTATACTTTTATAACTAGCAACTTTTCGTGAAAAGAACTGTTATACTAGGTTAATATTAAGAAAACCTGCCCAGCTCAGATAGATGGCGAGCCTTGGGAACAACATCCGGCACATTTAAAAGTAGCCCTGGTAAACAAGGCTTCCGTCTTATTAAATCAAGAATAATGTTGAAAAGAACAACAAACCTAAGTCTCCATAATTTATTTAACGTTGGGTCTATTTTTTCGTTGTTACATTTGAAGTATTATCTATCTTTATCGACATAATCTCTTATTAATTAATGTAATTATAAACAGTAAGATGATGTGTTGATTTTCGAAAGCATTTATCTATGTATATTTTAAAAATGTTGACTTACATAGATTTAAATATGTGTTTCTTTATTAATTGTTAATTATTTATTAATATTACGGACGTTACACCCAAAAATCGTTTTTATTTTAATATCCAAACACATCTTTATGGCAGAAAAATGAAAATGCGTATTACAACATTACAAGTACATTTATTATTACTTTTTTTAAAATGAACACTTAACAATGAAGTTCCAATAACAAATTATTTTGATGGAAACATTGAAACAACAACAGATTACAAATTTAACGATAAAATAATCTCTTCATATTTTTACTACACCATTATTTCTACTCCCACATTAAAGATACTACGAAAACACCCATTCTACACATTAAAGATATATGTATACATATACGGCAACTTTGAACAAACTACAACATAAAATAGTACATGAATATAGTTTGAAAATAGGGACTAGAATAACAGAATGGGAATTGGCACAAATTGTATAAAAGACTAAGCTTTAAAATCAATTCTGAGTACTACTATATCGCTGAAGAGGGCTCAAAGTACAACCACAGCTAAATATTGAGCCCTTTTCAGAAAGCATTAGCCTTTTCATAATGCAATTGAATTAAAAAATAAAATATATCAAAAATACATTATAATTTNTATAGATTTATTTTATTTTGTTGACGTTTCGGCTCCTTTTTCTTCGGCCTTCATCAGAACTTGTGATGAGAACTGTTACATTTTTTTAGCAAAATTAGAAGTGAAGTTGTACATGATGTAAAAATTAATATTACAATGTCTGACGCAGGCCAAATACAGTTAAAACTATATATAAAGCGTTACTAATTAATTCTAATTAATAACGTTGTAGTCTCTTAGGAACACTGTGATATGTGGTGTTGATAACACATTTGTGTTACTATATTACCGTTGCTTCTTTGAATTAAAGTATTTTAAACCAGCATAGGATGATTGTTCTTGTAAGGCTTTACATTTTTATACAACTTGAAGTACTTTTGTCGCTTGGGATAAATAATTAACTTAACTCTAGTATATATAATTGTTGTTGATTAATGTATAAAGTTTTATGTGTAATAAATGTATGATTTTATCAAACAAAGTTCAATTTTGAATATTTCTCGAAGAACTCGAATTTTCAATTCACATAGAATGCTAAAGCCTTTAATTTGATATGTCCTACATATTTTATCAACAAATAATAATAAAAGTAGCCATGGATAAATAATAATGAATTATTATATCAATGAATAAGTAACTGTCTTGTTTTGTCAAAATTTAACTTTTGGGAAAAGTTAACAAAAAATTTTTCGTGTAAATAAAACCAAGTACCATAACTAATGAACAAAATAGTAAAAAAAATACTGAATTCTTCAAGTAAACACTTAATGTCCCAAAGAGCGGGTAAGAAAAGTAATAACAGTCCAGTTTAATGATTTGCAACGGCTTATTTTAAATAAACATAAAAAAGCATCTAGATCGAGCGATTGTGAATTTGGAAAAAAAATCGTGGAGGCGATTTGCTTCAAATGTGCCCAAATAGAAAAGAATAAATGCTGCAGTCTCCCTTTAAAAGTTCCTGAAGTACCCCCGCCACACACAGCAAATGCAACGAAAAGTATATGTCAGAAAAAAGCAGAGCAGTGCCAATCATGCAAGCCCACCAGTCAGATGCGGGGGAGTCCTCCCCCAATCAAGGGATGTCCAGTTGCTTTACGTCAGGTCTATTAATTAATTTAAACGATAGTCATTTTCACAGATATAAAAGTTTCGAAAACAATTTTAAATAGGTATTCCAAAAAAAATATTGGAAAATATTTTTATTTTTCATTAGTAAATAAAAGGGTTGGTGTGTGATGGAGGAATACCAAGGTCGAATTTAGCATCTTATATTTATAGAGCTACCTTAAAACTTTTTATGAACATGTACGAAGGTGGATTGATAAGTTTCCGGCCTAACCAAGAGATGACGCCACTAGGCCTACCTTGAGGTGACATTCTATAGTACCATCCTTGGATAGCTTGTAGCTATAGTTTCAGCCCGATCTCCTTGCTAGTGTAGGTTTGACAGCACGCTGAACAAGACGCCTCTGTGGTTTTCGTAAAAATGGAAAAGCAGGAAAATCGTGCTGTCATCAAATACTTTTATTTGAAGGGGTTAACGCCG